ATTTGCTTCAGTTTTGGAATGGTATTAGAAATGTCATGTTTTATCCTTCCTAAGGAGTATCCTTCAAGCCTTTGACACATTCTGTGAATCAGACTTCTCCTTTTTTAAAATATTATCTCTTGAATACATTTTCTTTATGGGTAAACTAAAATAGTGGTGCACATGTTTTTATTCTCATCTTTAGATAAGGTCTTGTGTACACTTCTCTTGAAGTAATCAATCTGAAAATAAAGTGTTCACACACGGAATATAAAAGTCCTTAAAAAGCCACATATTTAGACAAAACTAAATAATGACATCAAAAAACCATAACTTAGTTGTCTTAATTCCACATTGAGTAGAGCAGCCTTTGTAGTTTTGCTCTTGAGACAGTGAAGTCAGCTCACCTAGCCACAAACCCCTTTCTCAAGACAAAAGAGTTTTTTATTTTGGTCTGGTTTTGTATCCATATCCATTCTCTCAGAATGAATCTCTGAAAAACTGTTCATAAACCTTTTGAACTCTAAGTGTTTACCACAAATTTTGGATTTCAAGTAATTTGAGATTATGGGTTTAATTTTTTTTAATGGAAACTGCACAAATTTGCAAAATATTTCAAGACCTCTATCTGTCCCATCTCACTTGGTGATTTCATTGAGGTGCCTAATTCTCCACCTGCAGAGAATACAAACAGACTCCTCTTGCAGGTGGTGGGAGACTCCAGCCACGAGCTTTGCTCTCACTTTTGATCACATGGAGTGAAAGATACAGTTCTGCTCTCTCCAGTCCTTGTGCTATTTCATGTGGGCTCCATTTTGTGTGTCGTCAGAATGTTTGGGGGGGGAGAATTCAGCTGGGGTGTGTGTGTGTGTGTGTGTGTGTGGGTGTGGGTGTGTGTGTGTGTGTGTAAGACTGTGATGTGTCAACCAAACTGTGTCACATCCTGAGGGCCATATTCTGGTGAGATGACACTGTTCTAGGCACACAAAGCCCAGACATAGTCCCATCATTCCACCTTTCATATTTGTTTAGTTGAAGAGCTGGACATAAGCAAGGGATAGACAGAATTTTCCTCTGCCCATTAGCGTGCTATATATATGTGTAATGTATGCATATGTGAGAATGTGCATGAGCAGTCAGTACAGAACAGCAGACACACAGCCCTTTCTCCTGTCTCAAAGCCCTCAGATGACATAAATGTCCTTGTCAGATGTCCCCAGTGCCTCACAGAAACATTGAACTCTTTTTTTTACCTGCTTTAGAAATAGTGGGACATAGTCAATGTGACATCAGATGGAGTCATCAAAAATGACCCAGACTATGTGTTGCATGAGGATGTTCACATTTTAAATAGACAACTTGTGAATTACAGAACCTGTGTGGTACTTCTATTTTCCTGATGCTCTATCACCTCTTACATCAGCCACCTGTCACCCAAAGCAGACTTAAAGTAGATAATTTTGGTTTGATTTTTTTTTCTTTTTAGAGGTATTTCCCTCTCCTTTTTCCTTCCATTCTAGGCCCACTGCAAATCCACAAATTACATTAACAACATTAAAAAAAAAACAACAAGAAAATGAAACATCTTACCCTTTCTTTCTGTAAATGCTTCATTCCCAGTGTTCTAAGAGAAACCTTGAAACAGGAGGATAATGATTCCCAAAACAAACCCTAAAGTTTTATATAATTTAAAGGAGGCTTATGTTGATTGTCCTTGACTGCTGTCAGCTAGAATTGTGCCTGCTTCTTGATCTCTTTGTGACCACACTAATTAAGGGGATTAGCTGAGGGCTGGACTTAAAGGTTATGCTCCCAGGGAAAAACACAGAGCCATGTTCTCACCTGGTGTGTTTTCTTTGACAACACAGCAGAGCTCAGTTTCTGAGGGATAATAGCCTTGCTATTTTAGAATTTTAGATTAAGCACTCAGGAAAGAAACACACACCAAAACCATCATCCCTTTTTGATGAGAGCTCTGAAACCCATATGGTTAGAATTAAGGTATAGCTGGAACAATGATGTCTGAATGCAAAAATGCATGTTAACTAAATTAGCCAGTGAAAGCTAAACCCCTGTGATCACACAGGACCTGTCTGGAGGATGCTGAGAGCTGACCCCACTAGAGAGAAGAGAGGGTTCTTTAGGTTGAGCTTAGAGTTGTTTATATGGGCCCCATTCCCTGAGCAGTGGACACAGCCAGACCTGGTGTGGAACTTGGTGTTGCTGCTTCTAATCCTGTTACGTGACTGTTGTGTTTAAGAGCATATATGATATCTGAAATAAAGTGTTTTGGAAAGACAAAGGGATAGGGAGAGGTCTATTGTCTAAAATTTGTGCTAAAATTCAGATTTGCTGGTATTAAACCCCCCTGTGAGCACCAGCAGTGGTTCAGGTTCTGGTTTCACAACCCTTGGGCATGTTTCCAAGCCCACTGAAGCATGAGAAAAGGCTCTCCTGACACCAGTGGGCTGTATCTGTGGCCAAAAGCTGGCTGTAGGACCAGGCTACACAAACTCAGCCTGTTTTGTTTCCACTGGTGTTATTTTTGTAATGTGAATGGTGCTGTTTAGATGGATTTGTGATTCTTTGAATCCCCTCTTGACACAAAGTACTGAGTGGAGAGTTTGCCATTTTGTAACAACCTCATGCAGATGCAGCAATGAGGTTTTTTTTTACCTGCTGAAGGGCGTCTTATGAGGCCAAGAAATAGAACAAGCAAGAGACAAGGGAAATTGCTCCTTTTTCTCTACCTTTTGCTATTTTTTGCCCCTTCTACCTTTTGCTGTCTTTGCTGCCTTCCAGTGGTGCCTGTCCATTGTGCAGTTGTGCTGTGAGGATGGTGCTGCAGGAGTGGGACTGCTCAGCTCACAGTGGGCTCTTGGTGTGCTCACACACACAAGGACCCTTCTCCTCCTCCTCACACCCAGCCAAAAGCCACACCCAGATGACAAGAAGAGGCAGAGGCTGCTTTTGCTATGATCTGTGGGTGGCTGCTGACCCCACAAACAGCACATCCCACCAGGCACCAGCCCCAGGGAAACATGCACACCTTCCTTTGATGGCCACCAAGGACACATTATGAGCCCCTCCTTCCATATACCAGGCCCACCACCTCTTCATCTGATTTTTCACTTCACTCTTGGTTCAGCATCTCTCAGTTTATTTTCCTGGCACCCAGATGATGGACTGTGACATTTTACTTCGGGGTCTGTACCAACCTGTGCCCTTTCCACAGGCAGAACTGCCTCTTTCCTTTGGGAACTGTAAATGTCATGTGGCTGTGCATTGTTATGGAAAACTGTAAATTCCAGAACAATATTTCCAAATATTTTTCAAGGGAATCCTGTTGTTCTGGCAAATGTCCAGTAACAATCCACATACAGACTTGTCTTTATTAACAGGAGCTTTTGCACTTCTAAACCTTATAGTATTACCTTGATTTGTGTTCCATCACAGGACAGTCAGTGTCCAGAGCTGATGCTGCCTGGGGCAGAGGATCACAAACAATGCAGCCACCCTCAATATTGCCCAAACCCAGCGTTCTTTCTGCTTAAGCTTGTCCCAGGCTAAGATCATTCTATCTGGAATGGTTTCAAAGCAGAAATGGACAGTGTGCTTTCTGATACTCTCCATTCCTCTGAGCAGGAGAGAATCAAAGCTGTTTTTTTGGTCTTGTGCTGAAGGACCAAAAGCTTTGCAGTTCAGAACAAAGGTGGGGGGACATCAAGAGTCAGGATATGTTTGGGTATTCAGCCCCCATCAACCAGAAAGTTGTGTGAGAACAACCCAGATATATGTTGTCTGAACTCCCAGATAGTAAACTGTCAAAAAACTGTGATCAGCTTCCTTCTGTGTGAAATCAGAGGCTGAACCCACAGCAGATATCTTGAGGAAGCCCATAGTTTCACAGCAGCATTCAACCAGTGAGACTCAGCAGACCCACTAGAAGGGTGTAATTCAGCTGCTTGCCTCTGGCCCACCTGTCTTTTCCTTTGGATACATTTAAATCTTATTTTTACATGCTGACCCCAGTCAAGGAATTGGTTCAAGTTTAATGCTATCCCTTGCTTCCAGGTAGAGAGCAGCAGCACAGACATCAGCAATGGGACAAGGAAGGTGGAGGCCAGAGTGTAAGGGACAGTGAGACATCTTCTCTCAATAGTGCTGCTTTAAAATGACTGTGAAACTATAGAAGAACTTCCAGTGTCTCCAGTGCAGGATAATTGTAGCTAAAAAATATCACATGGAGCTCAAGCCCTTTTCTTCTTCAAAAACTTTCTTTAATGTGTAGTCATTGATGCCACTATGAGAATTAAATTGAAAGGCTCAAACTGGAAATTTAGGCTGTTTCCTGGAACACAAGCTGTGCTCAAGATGAAGCTTGTAAACTTCCCATGTTCATGAACAGTTACGAATCACCTTTCACTGAAGGGTGCGATGCAACTCCCTTGGTTGCTTTCATTCTTATGGCAATTCCATCAGGATATTAATTCCTGTAGGACCCTCCTGGTTTAGGAAGTTCAGGGATGTGTGTGGAGAGATTTCTTTAGAAGCTGTGTGAGTGGTTGCAGCAGCCAGGCTTCTACAAGAATTCTAAATCTACTGAGAGAATCCAGGCACATAGCCTTACAAATCCCAGTATTGCACCCTGGGTTTGTTCTCATACAGCCTTTTGCACTGGGTTATGCATCCATTGCTTATCCACACTCCCAGGTCCCTCCAGTCAGGAGTTAATTCTGTTCAGTGGTCTGAGAACTGCACCAGGGAGCTGAACCTAACCCCATCCTTAACAGCCATATGGACACAGCCTGGCATGAGGCACATTCCTGAGTCTGTGCTCCATGCTGGTCAGTGGAGACACTCATCTCCCTGTGCATACCAGGGCCTTGGAGTGCACTTCAAAATGGTGCCAAGTGGTTTCTAAGAGCGAGTGGCTTCACCCATGAGTTGCTAATGCTCAGCTCCTCTTTCAGTGTGCACGTGTTGCTCGGTGTGCCGACTCCTCAGAGGTGAGTGCTGGATTTCCTGTGTCCTGTATCCATGCATCCCTTTTGGGCATGGCTGCATTCCCAGCCTGGCTTGCTCCTGATGCTCTTGCTCACTGGGTTTCCTAACACCAGGGGGGAAAAGCAGGGGAAGGCCAGGCTGTGAGTGGGTTTGGGAGCTGTGTGTGTGCTCATGGCAGTGCTTCTCACCATACTGACCTGTGTCACCCAAGGATGGGGATTGTTCCTCTGGAGAACTTCATTCCCTTATCTTCTAGAGGATGTGCCGTGTCCTTGCTGTGCAGTGTAACTTCTCTGCCCTGTGTCCCCCAGTGCTGGTAAATCCACTGAGAATGCAGCAAGAGCAAAACCTCCTCAGCCCCAGCCCTGTTTTGCTGTGTTCCCTAAGGATTGACACATGTTTCTCCATTGGTGGAGAGGACATTTATGCTTGGGGTGAACAGGGTATGTAGCAAATCCCAGCATCAGACCCTGGTAAGACAAAACAGGCTTGAACTGACTCTCCCTGATTCAGTCTCTGGCAGAAGCATTTTTGAAAAATGTCCCCACTGTCCCCAGCATTTATTGTGTTTACAAACGTCTGAGTGCAGTGAATGGTTTAGCTGCCGGTGGTCTTTTCAGTGCTGTGCCAGTTAGCTCAGTTGCTAAGAGCCCAGGCATGTCACTTCTGCATTTTTTCCCAGTGACAGATGAAAGGAGTGGGAGAACTCCAATTTGGGCATACCAGAGGATGGGACTGCCAAGCAGCTTGTCTGGGGAGAAAAAAGAAATACAGACTGGCAGTGTCTCATGTTGGTGGAAGCAAAAAAACCTTTGTAACTCCTTTTCTTCTCATCTCATGTGCTTTTTGTGTATTTTGCACACTAATCGACCTGGAGACAGCAGCAGAAGGACTGAAGGATCACAGTGGTGCCACCGTGCTGCAGCCACCTGTGCCTTGCACAGCCCTGCACCTGGTGCCAGAGCCCTGTGCAGAGTTGGTGCCTGGAGCCCGATGGTTCCAGCCTGGCACAGCCTCCTTGCACCCTGCCTGGGTGGCAAACCCACCCTTCTATTTGATTTGTTGATTTCCTTTTCTGGGTGAGTGTGCCATTGTGCAGGACAATGAAGCACGTTTAAGGTGGTATCTGTTGAAACAACCACGAAACACTTGTATTCACAGGGCATTTTATTAGAACTCTTCTAATCTTAGCCTAACCTTATTTTATGGATTTGACTTCAAAGTGTTATTTATAAAAAGAATCACTGAATCCTTATGGTCTTAACAGTCATGAGGTAATCTTAGGAAAGTATTTTAATGATGTTAAAGCAGCAATCAGTCCAACGTGTTTATGAATTGGACCCAAAGTAATTTGGATCTTGTTGGAATTGTGTACCCTGTCTTTCACCTTGGCTTCTTTTACTATTCCTGCCCTCTTTCCAGCATAATCCAGTCCCTTAGACCATGTCAATGGGGATGTGCTGAGGCTCTGTGTCAAAGAGGGCTCATTCTGTCTCCACAGGCTGCCCTTTCTCTGTCTCCAGGGTAATAGATGCATTAATGCATGGTCAGACTGTGGTCTGCCATTAAAATGCTCCTTTGTAAGTGCATCTTTGGTAGCTTGGAGAGCTGACTACGTCATGTGAACATTTTTCAGTGCCACAAAAAGCTGGGGGAAGAAAGAATCAAATTTTGTTTAGTTTGGACTAAGTTGCCTTGAGCTATTGGCACTCATCTTCTCTTGGTGCAAACTTTAGATCTAATAACCAATTTCAGAGTCCCATCATTAACAGTTCTCATTTCCAAAGAGTTTATAATCTAAATGGGCAGATAGTCAAGTCTTTCCTCAAGCAGGGATATTAAAAGCTGCTTTAGAGCCTTGGTGCAGTCTTTTTGGCAGGAGCAATTGCATTAATGCTCTCGTAGGTGAAACTCAATTACTTCACTCTCTGACTCACAGAAACCTCCTCAGCTCTTAGGAGAGCACAGGCTGGTGGAGCTGAAGTCCAAGCATTCTGCTCCCTAGGTGATACCCTGAGAGAAGCTATCAGGAGGATGGGGCCTGCAGGTGCCATGGAATGTGCACTTCTGCAGGGCCTGAAGGCCAGGCTGAGCCCCCTGAGCTGGAGCTGTCCCTGTCACCAGTGGTGGTGGGCTGGGGGCTGATGGGCTCCTCTGCCATGGAGCAGGACTGTCCCTGTCACCAGTGGTGGGATTCTCTGTGCTGATGGGCTCCTCTGCCATGGAGCAGGACTGTCCCTGTCACCAGTGGTGGGATTCTCTGTGCTGAAGCTGTTGGCTCCACAGGAGAGCCCTTTCCTGCCCAGCTGGATCACTCCCACTGGCCTCATGGTCTGCACATGACAAAGCATCGATGCAATTCAGGACACTCATCCTCCTCTGCTCTGGGCAGCTTCACTAAAACACAAGCCTGTTTGACAGATGTACTCCAGCACACCTTTTTGACAGCTCCTATGCCAGCTCCTCTTGCTTTTGTTCAGGGCCAGGCCTTTGCTGGTGGAACTTCTTCCAGGTTTTGACCCGAGTTTCTGATTTATCTCCTTTGTGTTCTGTGAAAAGTCAGGCTGCAGCATTCAGGAACAATGGTACAATTACGTAAGAGCTCTTTTCCCCTTTCAGAGAGGACAGAATGAAAATCTCCAGGGATATCTGTTTGTCTTTTGGCAGTGCCTGGCAAATGCTTAAACGCTGTTCAATGTTAAACTATCTTGCTTGGGACCAGCATTGAAGAAATAACAAAATTATGTTTGGTGGTGTTCTCTCAACTAGCATCTCTTAGGTGCTGTTGCAAAGACCTGGGGCATGGTTGAGAGGGAGAAACCATTTTAATTCTTGCAGAGAATAAATATATCTCTCATGAATTGAAGAATCAGCTGTATATCAGGAGAATTGTTGGGACTGCAAGTATTTGAGGGGGCATTTAATACTAAAATGCTGATCAGAAGACTTAGGCACTGTAAGAAATGTGCATGGACATTAATGATGAACGGGTCTGTTTTGGGTGTGCACTACAGGGTTGTGCTCCACAAGGTGACAGATCAGTGCAGCTCAACAAGGACCTAATGGGACATCCACTTAATTGTGCTTTAAATAAATCACCTTATTGGTCTATTAGCTGATTCCAACCCTCAGAAGTACACATAAGTTATTACAGTGGAAAGTGCTTTAAAAACATTAATTGACTTTATGTCAAGGGGGCTGATTGTACATCTCTGAACTAATTCAATTAAATGGTGTAGGTGGTTTTATTTTGGTTCTTAGCCAATTTTGCTTCCAGCTCTCATTCGGGGGATTTTTTTTTAACCTTGTTGAACTTAAAGAACAAGCAACAATTTTCTGTTGCTCTAGGCATTTTGTTCCTTAAAATTTCCCTTTAGTAAATACTGAAGCACATTTTTACAGGGCTAGTTTGCACCACTTTGTGCTGCTATTCCTGACTAGCAATTTGTGATTTTCTTTTTGAGATTTAAAAATAGTTTCATATGTATTTTGGTTACTTCAGGGAAGAAAAAAATTTTCACAGAAAATCAGTCTTTTTAAGTACATTTGCATTTTACCAGCAGAACTTAAAACATTAATTGTTCAATAAACTCCAGCTGAATGACAGATACTATAAAAGCAAAGATGAATATTTCCGTGTTCTGAAACAATGTTCCTTCCCCCTCTGCACCCGAATGTTTTCTCCTAACAGTTTATTCTTTCTTTTTCTCTATGTAAATATTATGGGACTCTGATGTAAGTGTTACAGATTGCATGAATTTTCCTCTGAGGTGTTTGGAATAGACTAGCACTTAACAACTCACTCATTTGTGGGATGTGTTTTCATTAACGGATGACTTTGTTGATGTAATTAGGCTTGTTTGCTTTGGTTGCATTTGACTCCAGCTTTGGAAAGGACGTCTGCCTCTGTTTGGTGGTTCCTGGGCAGTGTGTGCTGGTGTAGTTGGCTGCTCCTAACTCCTTGGTTTGGCAATGAAAGCTGCTGGGGAAGTACAGGACTTGGGTCAATGTCTTTTGGAAATGATGGTGAATTTATCTTTGTTGCAGGGGAAAGAAGCTGATGGTCATCGTATAATAAATATCTGTTCTCCTGTGCTTATAAAGTGGTGTGCAAACCCCTTATATGAATGATCCCCTGGAAAGGCTTAACTTTGGAGTGACTTTACCTTCCATTACAATAATACAGTACCTTGATCTTGGTTTGTGTAGTCTGTGACTGTGGTTTTCCCCATTGCTCCTGAGGAATTGAAATGATGGGAGAAAGAAGTATTGTGCCTGGCAAAATAAGGGGAGGTCCAATGTCAAAGTTGCCTGATTCCCACTGTAACTGTACTTAAGTGTCCAGATTTTTCAGAGGATCTAGATCAAAATCATTTGTTCACTTTCACTTAGAATGGGCCAGGTCCTGATTTCTGTGGTACTCATGAAAATCCACAGGGATTTGCTACGCATTTACATGGCAGCATGGACCGGAGTCTGAACCAAAGTAATTGCTGAAAAAACCAGATACTGAATCCCAGATACTGCTCTAGGAAGAGTTTTGCAAGTGAAATTTCTTAGTTTTGTTGAATCATAGAGATCAAAGATTGCAATATCCACGCTGGGTTGTTCCCTGAGGTGCATTAACAGCTCAGAACCCAACTCTGCAGAGCACTTCAACTTGAAATGTGCCCATTTTCAGGGCTTCCCACACAATGTGTTGGTTGTATCAGTTCCCTTGGGAGGACTTATGATGGATGATAGGAACTGGAATTAAGGGAATTAACTGGAATAATCTGTTTCCTTAGACTGTTTACAGTCAGATTCTGATGTGCTTTAGTGGAGGGAGGAGTGTAATCTGGTCTGTGCACTGAAAAGGTGTTTGCAAGAGGCAGCAGCAGCTTTAGTCCTGGAACCCATTTCCCATTTCTGCAGCAATTCAGCCCCTTCATACAAAGATATGGAGCCATAAATGTAACAGGTGGAGACACCTAAAACACAGCCCACCCTGGGATGGGGAGCGAGAGTCTCCCAGACAGAGTCAGGGCAAAGGTCTGGTGTATGATCTGTGTTTTCACACAGCCACCTCCCGGCTGTGACAGTCCCTGGGGTTGTTGGCTGCTCCCTGGAGCAGCACATGCTGCTGACTCTGCTACTCTGGGGACATCTGATAGTGACCTGAGGCCCCACAGCCTCAGATCATTAAGATGTCTCTCAGAAACACACAGGAGGTCACCCAAGGCTGAGTGCTGTCCTCAAAATGCATATTCCAGCCCTGGCAGTATGTTTTGCTCCTCAATCTTTACCTTCTCTGGTAACAAACTTTGGTGTCCCAGACCCCTTTCATTCACTTTAAACCTCCATCACCTTTCTCAGCCGTTCCTCACACATGTGTTTGTTCTTCTGATTAACCCCTGCTTTACATTTTTATTCACTCTCTTGGTGTCAGAAAATCAGTTTTTTATCATGTTTTTTACCATATTTGCAAGAAATAACAAACTCAAGCTGGGGCTCACACAGCAGCCACTCTTCAGAGATGGGTTCTCTGCCATCCCACAACAGCAGAAGGCTTCCACAAATGTGGGACAAAGGCTGGCATCCCAAAGTCTGGCAGATCTACACGAGCTTGTGTTGCCCACAATACAGATGTCCTTCCCAAGGCAGGATGGGCAGGGAGTCCTCCCTTCTTTTTCCAGGTCTTAAGGAAAGTGCTGTGTGTATTAAAGATCTTTTCTCACCAATGGCCAGAAAAGGAGTGGAAAAGCCTAGGAGAGCCCATCTTCCCTTTTCCAGTTCAGTGAGGCTGAAGCTAAACTGGTTCCCATTTGGCTGATTTTCAGTGTCCCACTCACAATGACATGGAGCAGGGAAGAAGAGGGATCAGCCCAACTTCCAGTGAACTTTACAGACCTCTCAGCTGCAGGGATCAAAGCAGTATGTGCCAGCTTGGAGGCTGAGCTCTTCTCTTTATCTTCATGGAAGAAGCTTCAGGACATGGATGTGATGTTTGGGCTGATGGGGAGAATGGAAAACCCTACAGGACATTATGCCTGCTGTGGAGGTGACATGGATGGCAGAGCTTGCTGGGTATCTTTTTTGCCCAGCATCTAATTTACGAGAGACAGAACAGTAATGAAGAAAGCAATGTATGCTGCAAAACCATGGGATTCACAGAAGCATTTTCAGGATAACAGTTCCTTCTGTTTCCTTTTCCAGTGAAGTGGCTGGTTGTAGAATGGGAGCAGGGCACATTGTCATGATTCTATTCACTCAGCCTCAGCAGCCAGTGTCTGCTCACTCTGGTCACTGACCACCCTGACTCTGGTTCTCCAACACCCCTCCATCCTGTCCCCCTCAAAGCCCTTTTTCCCTGGTGAAAGGCCCTGTCTGCTCTCAGTGGACACAGATGTGTTGTTGGGCCACTGTGCAAACCTCAATGAGGCCATCAAAAGAAGTTCTGACCCACTTCTACACTTGACTAAATTTTGATTTGGCTTAGGCCGGCAGCAAAGAACAGCTTCCACATCCAAGAGGGTCTAAGTTAGACTGCTCCTGGGTAGATCACTTCCCAAATGGAGGGATAAAATAGTAAACCAAAATATTCCTGTCCTGTTTTGCCATGTGATCTAGAGAACATTTAGTTCTCCCCACAGTGCAGTAGTTACTCTACAGTCCTACACAGAAGAAAAACATTTCAGCACTATCCTGGGCTTCTCTGCAATGTGACTATCAACAACTTCAGTACAGCTGGGGAAAAAGTCAACTTCCAGCTCTTCCTGAAGACCTGCAGTGGTATCTTCCAGCCTGCCCATGTGAATGGTGATAAAGGGGTAGAAGCACAGTGGGCAGAGGATGGTGTGCACAGGCTGCTGTCTCGAGCAGCAGCTGCATCCTGTGGGCTGAGTGATTAGCTGCTGACTTTAGTCTGGCACTGGGGAGAGCCCCAGTGACCTGCTCATTACTCATGGTGTTGCTGTAGCCAAATAATTTCCCCTCTGCCTGTTACCCAACTGAAAGAGCTGTCGAAGAATTCAGTTCTTTTGGGCTTTAAGAATCAAAATGGATTAGTAAGTATTAGATGTTTAAGAATCGTCTTTGGTCCAGCAGACTTACAGTCAGGCTGAGACAAGAAGCACAAAGCATTATTTCTATGCATCTTCATGCAACAAAGTATAGACCCAGTAATTCTGATTAATGCCAGCTAAACAGCAGATAGTTCCGCTCCTACCATGTTTCAGAATCAAAAAAGCCCTCCCAATTAAACAGAGAAACCTCCAGCCCTGCTGGTAAGAAACTATGGAGAGCAGGAAACTTGGTCATGTTGAGTTTCCTCTTCTGTACCTCTTGCTTTGGGCTGGCCATTAAAAATAGTGTCTCATTTACTGTCTGTATGTAGGCAGCAAATGGATTGTGTTGTGTACCACGACCAGTCCCACAAAGATTGTGCCATAACTTACAAGGGTAAGAACCACCTTTTGTGGTTTGAAGTTTTGAGGCCATAAACTGCCTTCAGGAACATCAGCAGAGGCAATGCTCCACCACATTTACTCCAGAGTGACAGAGGAGAGACTTTTCCCAGCACTGGTGTTCCAGCAACACACCCACTCGATGAGGGCCCATTCAATACCTGGTGAAGCTTTTTGAGAAGTTCAGTGGATCTCAGACTCAATGCTTGCCTTGACCACTCTCAGTTTCAAGTCTGTAAGTGCTGCTGTGTTTCCTATTTCTGCATCCCAGGCAGGTCTCTCTGTGCTTAACAGAGGACTTCAACACCCATTTGGAGCCTTCTAGAGGAAGCAGTAGATGCAGGAGCTATGGATGGAGCCAGCAATTCAAGAAATCAATTATTTTATTTATCCCTGAGCAAACAAACAAACAAAAAATCTCTTTCTAGTGTCAACTTCTCAAACAGCAGAAGCTGTGAATTTAGTCTCAATTCTGTGTAAAGTAATCAAAGTAGACTTTATAAAGGCTTTGTAAACAAGAGCCTATTGATTTCTAACCCCACAGCTGCTATTATTAGAGTGTGATGTGTGACCCTTCTGTCTATTAATCCCTGGAAGATGCATGGCTTTGCAGTGAGTGACATTTGTGTGAATCAAACCATCACTGATTTCCTCATCCCTTGTCTTCACATTTAGGCTGCAAATGGCTGTGTTAAATAGGTGAAATAAGTGTGGACATTAGGTATGAGAAGCCACCTGAGACAAACTGTGAAACAAAAGGCTCAGTGTTCTCAGATGATGAAGAGAACGATTGTGCATCCATGAACAAAAGGCCCAAAAAGAAGGATCAGCCCCTTGAGGTACTTCCATATTCTCAAGTATCCTCCTTCTATGACAGTTCTTTGATCCTTCAGCTGGAATCAACTGAACAGACACTTCTCTCTGGTCTAAACTCACTAAATACACTTTAAGTTGCTTCATGGAAACAAAAGAACTACAGGAAACGCAGATCTCATTCTAACTTGCCAAAATTTGTGCAACATTTTGTTATGGAGGAGATAAAACCTCTGTGGGAGATGCTGTAGGCAAAGACTTCTTGCAGCTCTGGGCAGGGTGGATGGAGCCACAGCCAGCAGCTGAGATCTCCACCTCTGGGAAGCTGAGCTGGTTCCCCCCTTCCCTTGACCCAGCGTGGGGAGCAGAGCAGTGGGGTTTGGTCAGCAGCTGCAATCCCTTCTGCTGGGTTGTCCTGCCTGTGGGGGCTTTCACCAAAGTCTGGGCTGCTCTGTTCCAGCCATGGAAAGGTGCAGCCTCTCCAGTTAGTCCCAGAGCTGTCCAGTGGCCTCCCAAAGGAGGCAGAGCTGTTCATGCCCCATTTAAGAGTCTTGGCTGTGCAATTAATGGCAGCTTTGCTTTAAGAGCCACATGGTTTCCCCAGGAGCAGCCTTCTCCCAAGCTGCAGGAGGTGCTGCTCTAGTCTGGCTGTGTCCATGGGTTCCTGGCTGCAGAGAGCTACTCCGAGCCAGCAGCTGTGGAGTCAGGTGTGGTGTGGGATCCATTGCTGCTCTACACAGCAGCTTTGCTCCTCACCTCTGCTCCAGCCCTGCTTTCTGGGCACAGCCATCCCATCCAGATCCGTTGTGCTGTTAGGGATTCACCATGGGGACCTGGGGTAAGATTTCAGGCTTGGAAGATGGAGTGAAGTGTTGGATTCATCCCATCTCTGTGAGAAACTACTTTGGTTTATGGTCAAGTATTAAAAATGGAGATTTAGG